GCTGCACTCAGGGTCTGGCCTTAGCTGAGCCTCGCTCGGGCGATGGGGCTGCTCGGAGCCCACAGGGGACATGCGGAGCTGGCGCACGGCGTGAGAGCCCAGAGCAGCCCACATGGGTCCGTCTGTGTGCACCACGCCGCCTGCCCAACTCACCTCTGTGCAGCCCAATGCCTTCTGCACGTACTTTCCTCCATCCCAGCTGTGCCTCCAGGAGAGGAGGGCTGGCCTGCAGTGAGGGAAGGGATTGAGAAATTGGAGCCTAAAAGAGGAAAAAAAAGTGCTCTAAAGTATACAACTGCAAGTGTGTTTAGGGGTGTTAAATAGATGCCCATATTAATGTTTTTGGTTGGATCACTGAACACAACTGTTTGCAGTCTCACTGTTTGACTGTCCACTTTGTATGCTTTGATACTGTGACTTGAGCAACTGTCTCTAGGATGATAATTGCAATCTATTAACTGCTGATTTCTTACTGTTTTTTTTTTGTAGTTCTGTATTAATTGTACCCTTACACTGCTTTGTTTTGTTTTGTTTTTTCTCTTTTTCCTTTTAAATAAAATTTTAAAAAAATTAAAAAAGAGAAATTGGAGCCTAATGTAAATAACAGTTATAAATTTAAATTCTTTGATATAATTTTGTGGGTCGACAGAGAAGCAACCTAATTTATGGCTAATCTGAGATAAGTCAGAAAGGGAGAAAGGTACATGTATATTAACAAGTCCCTTGGGGACAACCTGTTCTCAAAGTGGGAGCAGAGATTGAGGAGGAAAAGACTGTAGAGTACATCGCCATTGAGCAGCCAACTGTCCGGCAGGCATTTGTGGATGATTATTTGATGATTGGCTACAAAAGGGCTGCCTATCAACATGCGACAAGGAAACACAGGCTGCTGGAGCGTCACTGTGTGCCCTGCAGCAATCTAGCCACCAGTGGCAGCACAGTGAACCATCATGTGATCCACAGCAGGGTGGTTGCTGCTGAGCACATGAGGAGCCACAAGGGGGTGGCCATTGACCATGAAACCCATCCCAAGATGGCGGCATCCCGCCACATGGTGGAAGGCGGCAAGATGGTGGCTGTCCTGCATGCGAGCTGCAGCAACCATGTGGAAGGCTGGAGTGCCTGAGACCGAGTATGGTGAGCAGGTGGAGAAAATGTCAGCGCAGGAGAAGGAGACAAAGAATCCTCAGAAAGGACAGACAGCTCAGGCAGAGAGGAGTGAGAGGTCAGAGACTGGGGAGAAACACTAAGGAAATGGTGTTAGAGACACTGGGGGAATGTTCGGAGGCCCTAGGGGAAAAAGTAGAGACTCTGGGAGAGGGAGAGGAAGATGACTGCACAGCAGGAGATGAATGTGCGGCAGGAGCAGAAACTTTTGATTGAGAAGGCTGTGGGGTTTGATCTTGGGGATAGGGAGGAGGGGGTGGGTTAAAGACGGGGTGGGGGTACCTCGTCCAGGGAGTCTGGAGTGCAGGAGGGGAAGGTTTGTGGTGCAGTAGAGCTAGCTAAAAGTATTTGAGCAGATATATGTGATTTAATGAAAGAAGAACATATCCTTAGGGTAAGGAAGACCTGTACATACGGAATTTTTGCTAACTTGTTGCCAGTGTAACAAAAGTCATATAAATTTTTGAGAATACAGGGGTCAAACATCCCCTCTTTAAGTCACAGGGTGCCATTAAGTTCATGGAGTTTCTCTCCACATTCTTAGAATAAAAGCCACTTTTACTTTATATTTTCTGTCGCACTAGCCATGCCAAAAAACCTATCAGTTGGTTCCCTGACCAGGAACCGCAGCTCAAGTGACTTCTGGGGTCTTCCCAGTTTGAGTTCCCCTGCCGATTCACAGACTAGATCACATTCTGGATTAATTCCTCATTTCTCAACACACAGGAGCTGCTCAACTTGTCGCTGCTGGTTTGCAAACACTGGTCCAATTCATTTACCCCAAGTGAGCCAATTCCATCGGAGGATTACTTCATGGTTGTGGGCCGGGCCCCATGCCGGATCTTCCTTTTCTGTCCCTGGACTGGGGTAGCAGTTCTCATGTTCCTTCGGCAGCCCGAGACAGACCTATTACTGTAATCCACTGGGATTCCACTTGTGCCTTGTTAGTGATGGCTAAGAGGAACAAGTTGAAACCAATTAACCATCGATCCAAAAGATTAGGTGACAACCTCTTCTACATTGGCCATGGTCCCTGTTGTTGGCTCACTTTACTGTGATTGGATCATGGGAAACAATTTTTCCCCTCCCCAGAAAACCTATCAAATAATATACGATTAAAGAATACCATAACATAAATTTCCTAGGTTTTAATTTATATTTACATTTTTAAATAAAATTATATGAGAGAAAGTAATTAAAAACAATGGGCATATAGCAAGCAATTATCACAAAGAGTTATAAGCAACTGGCAAAGACAAAGCAAAATTTGAAGCATAGAAATTTGTTACCTAAACGAGGTATGAAGTAAAAGCAAACTCTCACCTCCATCCAGCCATCTCAGTGAAAGACCTCCAAATGATATAGGGGACTGAAGCTCCCAACCCACTATGTCCATGAGCTCATGTTCTCTAAAATCAAAGAATGAATTTTAAAGAACAACAGAGATGAAGAGTAGAATGCCATTTATTGAGAGAAAGAAAGCTTCTGTCAGAGAGAGAGACAGAGGGGATCTGAGCGGGTTGCCCAAGACTCTGTCTTTTCCATCATTTTGTACAGAGAAAGGTTTAGAGAAAGAATTCACTGGGGCTGGAAATGTGGCAGGATGAGCAGGAAAACCTCCGTGAGATAGTGATGGATTCACAGAGACCAAAACATTAAAAAGGAGGTGAGCACCACCCTGTCCTGTGTGCAAAACTCCAAGATAAGAAAAGAGGGAAGGAGGTAAAGAGGGATTGAGCAGGGCTAGTCCCTGCTCACTTGGCAAAGGGACCTGCACATCTTGTAAAGAGGTCCAACATTACCCTGAGGACAGTGTGGAAGAGATTATCCCTTATGTTTTTGAAAGGATCACAACCAGTAAAGGCTTTGACAGCATCAGCTCTGGCTATAAGTAACCAGGCCAAAGTAAGACTTCTGACATTGTGAAGCACTGAAAAGGTCACAGCAGCTCCTAACCACACATAAATATGTATTTAGGAAATAAGTGCAAAGATCTTCAACAAATGTCTACCATTCACTTGAGTTTTTTGAAGTGCTAAATGTCATAATCACTGCTAATGCTCCTTCCTTTCCTTGTGCCTCTTCTGCTGCTGGAGCCATCAGGCACTTGCCTGGAACTGGAGCCCCTGAGATGAGGCTGCCTGAGAGCTGGGGACCCCTGCACGCTGTCTTCAAGTGGACTTTGAGCTTAGGACATGCCACTGAGATCAGCCTGCGGCCAGAAAGCAAGTGAATTTGGGTGAGACAGGCAAGACCCTGTCTCAAGATAAAATTTTTAAAAACAAGTGGGGTTGAAGTTCAGTGTGAGGGATCTGGATTCAGTCCCCAGTATCACAAAACAAAATGAATTTATTCAAGTGTTTTTTTAACTTGTTCTAATTCTAGAGCCAAAGAAAACATGTCTCATGTAGCTGTAAGTCATTTATTTCATGTAGATCACTGCCAAAGAGTGATACTCCAACCCTATGACTACGGAGACAGAAGACAAACTTATCTTTCCTCAGCACTCCAGTCCACGGCTCACACTGGTCCCGAGGGACTCCAGTACTCAGCTGCCTTGCCAGTCTTGGGCTCTCTCCAGGAAAACCCACTTATCAGCTACTTCCATGTTTCTTGGTACTAGCAATGATTACTCGTTTCTCAGAGACAGTTCTGTCTAGCTTTATGGATCTCCCTTTGAGTCACACAAAGATAAATAAAATGTTAAATGAAGAACCATGTTCAAATACAGAGAGACATTTCTGGAAGTGATGGGCATGACCATAGGTGACCTATAGCAGCACTGTCTCTGCTTGGGGCCTGCATGCCAGAGTCAAAGGATCTGGATGCTCAGGAATCTGTCTCACACCACCAGGGAGAAGGCTGTTCCGTTTCCCTAAACTTGCATTCATCTATTTGTTACTTAACAAATACTTACTAAATAGTTGCTAGTGCCAATGTTCAGCTATATCCTGGGAACATAATAACAAACCTTTCCGGTCTGGAGGCTCTCAGATCCCTAAGAGAATTCATGAACTAAAATGCCCTGTGTCCTAGGATGAGCTCGGGACAAGCTCTGGACAACCTATCGCTCACAGTCACTGTGCTGTTCCCAGAGGGCCTCTGGCCTTCTCAAGGGCAGGAGCTCCCCTGCTTTCTTTTCCCACTTGCTCTGTCTTTGTTGTACTGTAACTAAAAAGTGCTGCTATATTGTTCTGTATGCACCTTCACCCTGGTAACCTGTTTGCTGTGTTAATCTTTATTCCTTTTGCGAGGGACAATTGTTCTTGGAATCAGTCGACCTCCAGTTACCTATATTCCTCTCAACCTTTGTCTCCCTTTTGTGAAAGATAGTGGTTCCTGGAATTAGTAGACCAAGGGCTATAAATTCTTGTAAAAAAGGAAATGGCTGACCACCGAAACTTCCCATAAATTCTCTGTCCTCAAGCAAGGGGGACAAAGGTCTTCCTCATTTTTGCCCCCCACCATCATTGGTTTTGTGGTTTTCTCCTATAAAAGCCTGACAAAATTTTAACCCAGTTACACAGCTTTGCAAACTCCAACTGCACTGTGTCACTGGTGCCAGCTTAAATAAAGTGCTCCTTTTTCTTTCAAAAGATGTTTTGCCCCGTTTTTTGGACAACATCTCAGGGTCTCATTTTTGGGGTACAACAGTCTTCATCTGCTGTCCTCACTCACTGCTTCCACTGAGTGAACAGTAGGAGTTCTAGATTCACAAGTGAGTCAAAGACATCCAACTGAAATGATTTGTTCATGATCATGTGACTGTTCACACAGAAATGTAGGATTTAAACTCTATGAAGGCAGAGCCGAATTCTTTCCATAACCGCAGCTTTAAGTGTGCAATTTTTTATTTTAAAGAGATTAAAACAGAACAGGACATAACAGAACAGATCAGAACAGAACAATGTAAGCTAAACAATATTTCACCAGAAGACAACCCATAATTAACAGAAACTACTGTGATGTCTCTTTCTTTGAAATAGTTGAGTATAACTTCATATACAATAGTATCAAACATAACAAAATAGTATAAAAACATCAAAGAGAATGAGAGTGCTACAGGGTTTTCAGAACCAAATAACAGAAAACAAACAATGGCTACTATATTATCTCATTTTCCATAGGAAATTTGTTTATACTTTCACACATAATACAATCCAATAAGGTACAACATGATAGAGCCAATGGAAACAGAAGAGCAAGAGCATGGTAAGACTTCAGAGTAAGATGATATTATATCAGTACTGGCTATTGTAATGACTTGTTTTCCTCAAATTAGGTGTTCATACCATCACAGATAATAAAATCAGAAAACCAGAACAAACATATTACAACTGTGATCATTATAAGGCTTTAAAATAATGTAATGGGGGATCATGATTACCCTAAACTCTTATGTACTCTTACTATTTGTTATACTAGGGAGACTATACGGTATTTACACATGTGAGTTTGATTTATTTTGCTTATGAGAATGGTCTCAAGTTGTGCCCATTTATTAGTAAATATCTCAATGTGATCATTCTTTATAGCTGAGTAGCACTCCACTGTATAAAAATACCACATCTTTTTTATCCATTCCTCAGTTGATGGACACTTAGGTTGTTTCCAAGACCTGGCCATTACAAATTGTGCTGCTATAAACATGGGTGCACATTTATCACTGTGGATGATATTTGCAGTTCTTCTGGGAATATGCCCAGAAGTGGAATAGCTAGGTTGAATGGGACTTCCAATCCCAGATTCTTGAGGAATCTCCAGACTGACCTCCACAGTGGTTGCACCAGTCTACACTCCCACCAACAGTGCAGAAGAGTTCCTTTTTCCCCACAACCTCTCCAGCATTTGTTGTTGGTAGTTTTCTTGATCCTGGCCATTCTTTCAGAAGTGAGATGGACTCTCAGTGTGGTTTTAATTTGCATTTCTCTAATGACTAACGATGATGAACATTTTTTCATGTATATATTTGTCATTTGTATTTCTTCAGCTGAGAACTGTGTATTCATCTCAGATGCCCACTTTTGGACTGGGTCCTTGAATTTCAAGGATCTGAATTTTTGATGAAGGGGCCAATTGTGTTCACTGGAAAAACGACAGTCTCTTTAATAAATGGTGCTGGAAAAACTGGCTCTCCATATGCCGAAAATTAAAACTAGACCCATACCTATCACCATATACTGAACTAAAATCTAAATGGATCAAAGATCTGAATATTAAAACAGATATTAAATATTAAAATCTATTGGAAGACAAAGTAGGTAAACATCTTGAAGACATAGGGGTAGGTAGAGAATTCATGAACAGGACTCAAACCACATGGGAAATACTTCCCAGAATCAATAACTGGGATCACATCTTATTAAAAAGTTTCTGCATGTCAAAAGAAATCTCCAGCATAGAGAAAAGAAAACCCACAAACTGGGATAAAAAAATCTTAGTGAGCTGTCTGTCCCTCAGACAAAGGACTTCTGTCTAAAACATATAAAGAATTTTTAAAAATCAGTTCCCAGAAAGTGCACAATTCTTCACGGCATAGTTTTTCCGCAGTCTTCACACACTGAAGGGGACGGGGTTGGTGTTAAGAGAAGTTCTTGCTTCCAGGAGCCTGAGGCTGCTTCTAAGAAAATACCTAGAAATCCAGAAACAACCATGAAGCGCACGGAGCCTTGTAAGGAGCCCGGCTGAGTCAGGGCTCACTGAGCTGTACACCTTCTCCTGGCTGCTGCAGCAGGACTTCTCCTCGCCAACCTCCAGTCTGAGTCTTTTTCTGTTCAGCTCTTAAAACTGGTGGGAGGGGACAGAAGAAAGGCACATTTGAAGGGAGTCTGGACAAACTGTGGGCTAAGAAGTGCAAAGGTAGAAGAAAGGAGTTGTAGGAGCTGAGGTTCTATGGCCCAGAAAACGTGTTTCAGACTCAGCCACCTGGAGGTGAAAGTCGGCCTGGAGCTCTCGCTTTTGCTTGGCAGCTACATGGGGTCGCCGCGCCGCGTGGCCTGGGCGTCTCTTCTAAGAGAAGACAGACTGCTGCTAGCCCTGGAGAGGGGAGGGGAGGGGAGGGAACAGGAGGGGAGGGGACCAGGGCAGGGAACCTAGGGGAGGGGCGCTACTGCGCCCGCCCGACCCAGTTGCCTGGTAAAGCGCACCATGCTCCCAGCCGGCGCGCGAGTGCTGAGCCTGGGCTTGCGGAGCGTGACCCGCAGCGCCCCACGGCCCCGAGGTGCCCCCGGTTACTGCAGCGGCACAGCGCCTGGAGACCACGGTGAGGGCGGAGGGGCGGCCTGAGGGTGGGGTCGGGGACTCAGTCCCAGTGCCCTCACCTGGGTCGGTTGCTGTCCCTGCAGGAGACGGGCACAGGGTCCCCGCGCAGCTCAAACCCTCGCAGTTCGACAAGCGAATCCTGCTGTGGACCCGGCGGTTCAAGTCCATGGAGGAGATCCCGGCGTGGGTCCCGTGAGTGGGACGGGGAGCGGGGGTGTGTGCGTGGCCTGCAGGTGTGGGGTCCGTGCCGCGCCCAGGTGTGGGAGGCCATAGTGATGTTTGGTTCTTCGCGATAAGTCCCTCAGCATGTGGCATTCGTCACCCGTTCCTCCCCGGGGTGGTTCACTGACCTTCTCGACTGGACAGTGGGCTGCTAAGCGTATATGGAGACTGAGGAAGTTGGGCGAGAAAAGATAGACTTCTTGGGCACCACCACCGTTGCCCAGTTGCAGTCCGCAGAGAGCCCTGGAGAGGGACGCGGGGGCGTCGCCTGCACTCTGGCTGTGTCAATCAACTCCAAAAGAAAAGGGCTTGCTGCCTGCCGGCGGTGTCTGGAAAGAATCCTCACTCAGGCAGCCTCTTCTTCTGTGGTGCAGCCACAGTGGGCCAGTGCAGTGTCGGGCCTGGGAACCAGAGCTGGGTCACTGACATAGTTGGCCTCCTCATAGTCATAAACCTACCCAGGCAGAAGTTTGACGAGTGACCAAAATCAAACCAGCAACTTCACCTCTAAGATAATCACCTCCAGAGTAATGTAGCCTGCAAGTAATAACATTAAAAATAAGTAAATGTAAACTTGTATTAACCTATTCTTTCAGTTTATGCCAATTCCAAAAGGCATCCCCAGCACTTTTACAAGAGAACGGATAAAAAGACAAGGAACTAAGAGTAAAATCAGTCTACTAGAGTTAAAACTGAAAATTAAAAACAGCATGTTAGCACATGCCTGTAATCCAAGCACTCTGGAGACTAAGGCAGGAGAAGTACAAGTTGCAGACAAGCCTGGTGATTTAGCAAGACCCTATTTCAAAATAAAAAAAGGCACAAAGATTTAGCTCAATGGGAAGACCTTAGGTTCAATCCCCATTATGAAAACAAAATAAAATGCACAAGAACAAATGAAAAACCTGGTCATGTAAAGGAAGGCTAAAACCAAAATACCAAATAAGGATTTCAGATGCTTTGTTCATCTGAAATCACAGTATATTAGTACAATGGAATTAATGAATGTCTATTGGAATAGATAATAGAAACTGGGCCTACATCTTGTTTATCACATATTACCTATGGTTTTGTTTCTATTAGTTTACAGTTTACCAAAAGAACTTCAAATAAATGGGGGAGAAAAAAGTGGTGAGAAATGTATACTAAGGAAATCGAAAGCCTTTTTTCTTCTTTTTGGATCAAGGGTTATTAAACATGAAATAGACATGAGTTTGAAATAACTTTCTGAAATCTTGCTGGGTTTATTCAACACAGAAACATATCATAAAACAAATTATTTTGATATCAGTAGAGGCCAAACTGCAAACTTAGCTGAAAGTATGAGTTAATCTCAGAAAGTCTTTGTTAACAAGCTCTGGTTATGAAATCTGAACTGGTAAGTGAGAATTTAATACTTTACAAGCCAAAATAATAGGTAAAAACATAAATATAACAAAAAATATAATACGATTCTCAAATTTTTTTGGATTTTGAGATCTAGTGATTATAGCACAGTAATCAAGAATGTAAAAAATGAACATTATTATAAATTAATGTTTGTAAAGAGAATATATGCCAAATACAGCATTAACGTAGCTGCAGGTAGAAAGAGGCAGACATTTATTGTTATTATTATTATTTTGGTACCGGGGATTGAACTCATGACCTCATGCTTGCCAGGCAGGTGCTCATGCTGCTGAACTAAATCCCCAGCCCGAGGCAGAATTATTTATTACAGAAATAATTTCCTCCTGCTCTCAGTAAGACAGTATTATAAACAGGAGCATTCAACAATGAGCAAGATACCTGATCAGTATTTTGCTAGAGAAGCATAACACAAGATGTACAAATATATAAGAAATTACAAGATCAGCTTATGATGATCACTTACACAGTTGGATGAGGAAGCATCCAGAAGATGTTCTCACACTGAAGGCCAAAGGGTTCAGTCCAAGATCTGGATCTCACTGCAGTGTCCTGGGCAAGTCCATATTAGAAGGCCAAATAGGTCTGCAATGGAAGGTGGAGGGATTCACACCGCAAGCCAGGAGTCTGCAGTGGAAACCAGGAGATAATGTCCAAGATGGAAACAAGTCTGGAGCTTCTCCAAACAGCAGAAGCAGATCCACCCTTCCTCATTTCCCCTTTATACCATCCAGGTGATGAGCTGCCCTTGGATGGGTCTTCCTCACCCGAGGATGTGAAATTGCTGAGCTGGTTTAGTCAAGCCTCTCTTAATGAAACTTCTCAAGTTGATACTATCAATCGTTATAAGTGCCTAAAAATCCATTGTAGTTTTGAGCTAGGAACAAAAGTATTTGAATGTTTTTCATTTGATTATTTTCTGCAATCTTTTTTAAAGCATTGTTATTCAGGAGAGATGTTCCTGTTAAACTATTAGACTTGCAATGTAAAGTTTTCACTTTTTGTGTTCTTAATGACATATAATTGAAAAATACCTTTAATTTTTATAACTACATTAACTCTTTAATAGTAACTGTACTGTGTCTCATTTTTTCAGTGTTACATTAATTTAGTATAACATATCAAAGCCAGATGGGTAAATATAAAAGATCAGATCTTTTAGGTTCCCTCTGGAATAAAAGGTACCAACAAATGTAATCTAATAATGTCTGTGTAGACCCTAACTGGAACTGCTCATAATCACCCTTTTAAAACATTACTATTCTGCCTAAAATCTAAGGAAAGTTGGTTCTTTATTAGTTTTGGTGGTCTTTGTACTAGTGAAAAAGTTGAGAAAAGGTTTTCATTTTTAAGAAAAATTATAACGTATTTTTCTAGAAATTGAAACAAATGTAACAATAAACCAACATTAAATAGAAAATAGTGTTACTGAATATATTCTCAAGAAAAATGCTTAATGCATATTTGTAAACTGCCACTTATATCATTGCAAATTGTTGAAGTTTATTTCAATATTAAAACTTCACAAGCGGGGCTGGGGATTTAGCTCAGCGGCATAAGCGCCTGCCTTGAAAGCAGGCAGTTGTGAGATCGGTCCCCGGTACCGATAAAAAGGAAAAAGACAAAATAAATAAATAAATAAATTCACAAGCATGATTACTTTTGAAATACTACTTTTTAAGTAACATTGCTAAAATCTTGGACAACTTCTAACATTATTAAAAATAAGACTTAAGTATTAGAATAACAAAAAATGAAAGTGTATTTTTGTCATTTTCTTCAAGAAATTGCTGTGATTTTTATCATTTCTTTTAAAGTTCCTGCAACAGCCATGAAGAAAACATTCTTTGTCTAACAGTCATTCCCATAAAATGTATAATAATCAATTTTGGAAACAGCAGTGGGGAGAGCAAGAAGAGACTACAAGGTCAGTGGGGAAAAAGTATTGACGATGAGTTTTTAAAAATATCCTGTTCAGTGGGCTGGTGATACAGCTTAGTGGCACAGTACCTTCCTGGCAAGGACAAGGTCCTGAGTTTGATTCCTGGTACAAAAAAATTTCCATTAAAAATTGAAAACAAAGGATCACCATAAATTCGATGGTAGCCTGAGCTACATAGTGACAACCTGTCTCAAAAAAAAGGAAATGTATTGAACATAGCAGAGGTTAAATTAATATGACTCACAGACATACATAGGCTTTAACTCTCACCTTAATCAGTAAATAATTTTTAAAAAGCTCACAATCTCTAGTATAGTTAGAAACTAAATATTCTATACTGTAGTTTCATAATGGCTAAATCTGTTAATTTGAAATGGGTAAGACTTGAAAGTTTGTTCTGGAAAGTTTGTTTGTTCTGGAAAATTTTTGCAATCTACACATAACAAATCATTTATGTGACTTAATTCCTGTCAGCAAACTGTATTACTTTGATGTAACAAAATCCTATCTTGGTTTAGGCCTGAAATGATAGATGCTGCAAGGAACAAAGCCCGGGTGAAAGTCTGCTATATAATGATTGGACTCACAATCAGTGCCTGCTTTGTGGTGATAGCATCAGCCAAAAAGGTAAGACCTTCCTTAGGACACAGGCAGCGCCTCTGCGGATCCATCTCCAGCAATGAAATAAGAAAAGAGGGATAGAGATAGACTTACAGAGTTTTAAGAACTGTTACGGATTTGTTTGAAGCTTAGCATAAGAACAAATTTGTTTTACCTGAAACAATCTTATTCAAGGAAATTTGAATTAATACATTAACTCTGTGGCCAAAAGAGAAAAAACACTTCCTTCCACTCACAAAAACCAGGCAGTTTTAACCCGGTTAAAATCTTCACAAGGAGAACTTTGTTGTATGAAAGTTATCATTTCGGGGCTGGGGATTTAGCTCAGCAGCTTAAGCGCCTGCCTTGCAAGCAGGCAGTCGTGAGTTCGATCTCTGGTACCTATAAAAAAATGAAAAAAGAAAAAAAAAAATAACATGAAAGTTATCATTTCTTAGATCATGAACTCACTCAGCCACTGCATAAAATTAAGAAATAGTTCTGCCCTGTATACAAACCTTTTCACTATCTCTAATGCACGGTTTCTGTTTGATACCTCTTAGGAGAAAGTAAAGGATGACAAGGTTCAGTTTTGTTCTCTGCTTCTGCAAACCTTCCCCCTACAGATCACTTTTTACCACCAAGAGAAGCCCCTCCTACCCCCGTTCTGGAAGATAGAGAACTCCGCCCTCAGTCTTCCGTTTTCAGTCTTTAACAATCTCCATGTCAGAACTACGGATATACTCCCTCTGCATTACGTCACCTGCAACTAACCCTAGAGCCAGACCTCTTCTTCAGTAGTGATCACTGCATTTCAGTAGCAGACACATCACAGTTAAGAGTCACTTAGGTCCCTAACTTTCACTCTCTAGCATAGTTAGCCAGTTACTATCCTGCCTAATCCCATGATTGTAGTGTTCTGCATTCCTCAGGTTCACCAGTGACTCTGAGCCCTCTAATCTTACACCAAGATAAGAACCCATGAACTTAGCAACGTAAATATGTTTGTTCCTGTTACTTGGAAAATAAGTCATCTTTTAAAATTATTTTCATTTAACAAAAACTTTTTAAAATGCTTACTGACCTGAACAGACATGTAAAATAAAGACCTTCAATCATCTCTTATCCTTGTCTGCCAAACCAAGAATTTTCAGTTCTAAAAACCTTTTAATGGTTGGTATATTGTCTCATTTACAACCCTAAAGATAGACAGTAGGTTTTGCCCTCCAGATAAATGCCTTCTTTGTTTGAATCCTGGCGAGAGTAGCTGTAAGTCATTTCATTCCTTCCTGATTCCTCCAGCTTTCTGACCCATAGCAAAGATCCAAATCCTACATTCACCTTTGTGTAGGGTTTAAACACCTACCCTATAACTGTAAAGGTCACTATTTTTCCTAAAGGCCCCAACTGAAACTATTTCCTCCCATCCTGACTCAAGTCTCCCATTCTCATCAGTTCCAAATTACCTCCATTTTTGATGCCTGGAGATTTCCATTTCTTTTTTTAGGCCTGAATATTTTGTTATACTGTACCTAACAAACATGCTACATGTACCAAGAGAGAAGGTGGTAGTTCTTACATCTATTATCCTATTAATTGGAAGTCTAAGAATTTTTTTCCATACCAAAGAACCATTTTTCTTGGATACTATTTGTAATATTTCAAGTTACTTTTCCCAGAATTTCTTATGTATGCTCAACTAAAATACAAGTTATTCTAGAGAGTCACAATTATTCTTTTTTCTTTTCTGTTTCCTTCTCTGTTCGGAAGGCTGCAGAACGGCATGAATCCTTAACAAGTTGGAACCTGGCAAAGAAAGCTAGGTGGCGTGAGGAAGCTGCATCAGCTGCACAAGCTAAAGCTAAATGATACTTTAAATGCCAAGGTGTTTACATGAATACCACCACATTATCAGCAACAGTAAAAGATAGGTAAAATAATATTTTTCAGGACATTGGCCATGGTTTTATTTTGGTAATAAGAATACAGTCTTTATTTTTTTTAGTGAACTTTTATTGAAGTATAACATCCACTCAAGAAGAGCACATAGGGGCCAGGGAGATAGCTCAGCGGCACAGTGCCTGCCTGGCACATGTGAGGCCCCCAAGTTTGATTCTGGTACAAAAAAGAAAGAAAAAAACCAAAACAAAACAAAAATGAAAAGAAAACAAGAGCACAGAAAGCAAAGCTGGCTAGATTTCTGCTAGGGAAGACACCTGTGTAGCCACTACTCAGGGCACAATGTAGATCACCAGGTAAACTTCAGAAGCCAGTATGCTCTCATTACTCCCCAAAGGTAACCATGGTTGAGTTTCAGTTCATAGATTAATTTTGCCTGTTTATGGACTTTATATACAATCACAATATGTACTTTTGTGGATGCTTAATATTATGTTGTGAGAGCTATCCAGAAAGTGTTTATACATGTTTATTGCTGAATAGTACTTCATTGTATAATATGCCACAATTTATCTGGCTATCTGGCTGAGTGTGTGGCTACTGCAGATAACATTAAAATGAGCACTTTGTGCATGTCATTAAAATGACCTTTGACTAAATCAATAAGGAGTCTGTAAAATCAAAACTAATGTTCAAACTAAGTTATACAGTATTTGGTAACTGTATAGTCCCCTTGGTTAGTCTTTTCAGTGTCTGTAACTAGGTAGGCAGGTTTAAAAACAGTTTAGGCAAACCAAGAAATACTAATTCCAGAATCTGTTACTAAAATGGTAAAAGTATTAAAACAGTAATTGTAAGAACAATTTTAAAAAAGACAAAACCATAGAAAAATGGTAATCTCAATGGTTTTCAAAGTTGAATAAACCCTAAAACATTTTAATTATCCTTTTAATTTAGTAACTCTTTTGATCATAAATGTCAATAGTTAGCCTGAAAAGCCCTTTTCTTAAGAGAAGATACAGGACATCGTAAGCGTATAACTAAAATATAACTACAGAAAATCCAGAGAGAATAAAAGACTGGCAATTATAAAATTAAAGGCAAAACTAGTAAAATAAGGTAGAGGATCAACAGAATTTAGGAATTTAGGAAATCATTGAGGTAAAAAGGCAGAAGAAAATAATATTAGGAATGTTAAAAGAAATCATAGTCCATATTCAACAGCTTTTTATTAGAGGATGATGGAGGAAATAATTGAGATGTGTTGTATACTAACTCTCCATGGTAAATGTGATGATTATGTACTACAATCTTGTACTAATAAAAAAAAGTAAAAGCCTGGTTTTTCCACTTTTATTTCTATTAGTACTCAGTATGTAGCCCAGGTTGAACACCAAGCAATCCTCAACCTCCTGCCGCGGCTTCTTGAGTTAGTGAGTTCAACACTAGCCTGGGATTACAGGCATGCACCACGCTTGGCTGAAAAAAAACTTTTAAAAGAATACTATGGATTGGCATGATATCATCTGGTTCTGGCCAAGATGAAGTAGTAAGATTTAGTATCCTGAATCATGTAAAACACCAGACAAAACATTAAGTAAATAGGAGGCCTCAGGTAGCGGGCACTGTCACTTGTGCAAGAGGAAACAAATTAGTTGAGCAGCTACATGAGCCCCATTTCACTCCCTAGGAAACTTCAAGACTGCAGAGTAAGAAGGCGAAACCATGGGAGATCCTAAAGCCTGAGGTTGGGAGAGTTATGAGGATGGTTCAGAACAAGCAGAGTTCACTGGAGAGTATAAACAAGTTAACAGGACCACACAGACTGCTGCAGAGGTCCCCTGGGAATCTTTGGATTATCTTTGACCTCCTATGACCACTACCCCAGGCCATCAAAAGAACCCCCTTCCCCCACCTCCAAGAGACAAAGGGAAGCAATTGTTTTAGAGCTCACACATGGCCAAGAGTATTGGTACTAATTTAACTGGTACCAGAGTACCCAGAAAGGAGTGGCCTAAACAGAAAAATAAAGGCTGTTCTGTAACTAACTGCCTTGCAAGTTTAAAAACAAACCTATAAAAAGTCCATTTTCTTCCCCAGTAACTAAACTCAAAAGCAAAGCATTGATTCCATACCCTAGCCACTGTGATCACTTCTGCAGCAAACATGGCAATGTAGGTATACCTTTGGTATGGTTCTTCCCATGGCTTGTGGTTGTGTACCCAGGAGTGGGCTCAGTATCATTAGCTATCAGTGAGGGGCAAATCAAAACCACAGTGAGAAAGCCATCTAACTGATGGACATTATCAAAAAGAAAAGAAATAGCAAATGCTGGTGAGGATATGGAAGAGTTTGTTGTTGGAACTGAAATTAAGCATAGATACTGTAGAGAACAGTATGGAAGTTCTTCAGAAAGCTGCCTCGTCTCTTTTGGATAGTGGGTTAATGACTTAAACACTCCAGTTAAAATGCAATTACTGTGATTACTGAAGCAACTGAGTTTAGATCCACCATCTTGTCATATGTTCCTTTTTCCCCTCTCTTTTGGTCTTTTAACTCCTTTTTTTATATCTACTGTCAGTACTTTTTAATCGTTCCATTTTATCTATTTTGTTAGCTTTATAAAGTAGTTGGAAAGTTAACCAATAATAGCATCTGTCTTTGCTCCCTGTGGGGAATATACAATTGTAAGTGAGGGGAAAATAAATCAGACTTACATACGCATATGAATTATAAAATAACTTTGTATTATTTTTAATATACTGTAACATTTCATAATACTACACACTGCTCCTGTTGATTTAGTTACAAATATCCTCCCCTCATTTCTCCTCAATCAGAAATTAAAGGCATATTAATTACCCTCTAGAATCCTATATTAGTTCCTAACATGTCACATTTCATAAAACAGTAATGTTATGAACTAAAATAATAAAAGTTAACAATTAAGTTTCACAGTTTCACAATTAAGCCACCAGCAGACTGCTGAACTTAGAACACCACCAAATATCCACTACATTTTCTTATATTTTATTTTTTTCATAATGCTCCTTTGTAAAAGAAAATATAAAAGCAAAGGTTATAAATGCTTCTTTTAGTTCTTTACCCGATACATTTATTTATTTATTTACTTTTTGTCTTTTTGAGACAGGGTCTCACTATGCAGTTCAGGCTGGCCTTGAGCTCACTTTGTAGCCCAGGCTGGTCCCGAATTTGCAACAATCCTTCTGCCTCAGCCTCCTGAGTGCTGAGATTACAGGCTTGAGCCACCACGCCCGGCTGTACCGATACATGTATTTTTAACTGTAAATGGGTTTTACAGTTACCAAAGGATATATTATTTCCACACTAGATTTTATTATTTTTTAATGTTCTGGTATTACTAAGTGAACAAATAAAGTTAAATGAGAATGAAACTTAAGAGTTTAAATAAAAAATGGCCAGAAAGTCAAATACTTACATAAATATAAAACAAACATGATTGCATGAATTAACTAATTCAAATTCAGACAAAACATACTGAATTTATTTTTATTTATTTTTTTGGTACCGGGAATTGACCTCAGGACTTTGTGCTTGCCAGGCAGGTACTGTGCCACTGAGCTAATCCGTGGGCCCTGAATTTAGAAATAGACCCTTTTCTACTTTCTTAGTATGTACATTGTTATTCGGATTCTCCTTTATGACACATTCTTATTTTATTTGGCATAGTTTCTCATAGATGTAAACATTATAAATCTTTAAAAAGTTTAAAACTGTCACAAGGGCCAGTGAGGATTGATGAAAATACATTATGGAACATTTTAAGAGGTACCTTGAAGAGTAGTCGTAATCTGAATTTTAAAAGCAAACGGTTAGGAGTTGTGGGTTTAGCCCAGTGGCACAAGTACCTGCCTGGCAAGCATGAGGTCATGAGTTTGATCTCCAGTACCAAAAAATAAAAAATAAAAAAAAGCAAAGTGTTTGAGTCTTAATCCAGTAAACTTGTCAATAAGCCTAAACTGATCCAGTCGCCTTTGCATTCAAATCTAATCAAATTAATTTTTCAGGTAACAGATCAAAGAGATTTAAATTTGTATTTAAATGCTTAAACATATGGTCATATTTTCTTTCTTGGTACTGGGATTCAGGACCTTGCACTTGTCAGGCAAGCGCTTATGCTGCTGAGCTATATCCCCAGCACTCACACCCTTCTTTTCATATTCTGTACTTCTGATATAGTAACATTGGTTTTACTGGAAGAAATTTTAAAATCATTCAAGAGATCATTTGCATGTGCCTGCAGATGTGCACATACACGTATTATTTTCCTCCCATGAACACTCATTTATTAATAATTTGGCTTAAAGATTGTAGTGACTACAGGGTCCATGAAAATAGGCACATCTGGTTAGCTTATCAATTATGCTGCATTAGCCATGTCAGTTGCTGTGAAAAAGTGGAATACTCTGTCTTGTGATTCTTAAAACTGTCTGCAGCACAACAGTGTTCATCTGATAAATTCACAATCAACTTGGTAATCTTTAATAGAATTACCCTGTTTTTTAATAACATAATATGAAAGAAACACTTTTTAAACTCAACTAGGTAACTTCCACTACAATAAAAAGGACATACATACATCCTTTAAATAACAATATAATATAGGATTGGCAGCTGCAGTTAGCATTACAGATACCATGTAAACCTGAGTCATATTAGTAGTTGGTTTTAAGTGTCCGGCCAAAAACTTTCATGAAACATCATTTACAAAGTATCAGACTATTTAAAGAATCCTAAACATTTTTCCTCTTGTAACATGCCTCTGATTTCCCGCAGAAACATTACATAAATGAAATATTCCTTTACAGAAAAGACTATGAATATCAAAACTGCTTTAACTCCCATCTTAACAGAGTTGCCAATTAGAAGTAAAATAAATATTCTAGGTATTTAATTGGAAATGAAAATAGCCTGCATATGTTAAAATATTTGAGTTCAACAGTACATCTGTTTAGAAAACTATCAAACACAGTACTGTGTGAGAAGCATAGATAAACACATATGTTTAAATAAATATATAATTTTTTAGTGAAACCTTTCTTGACCTTTCATAGTCTGAAACAGTTTTTGCTATTAATTCATAAAACACACATTATAGTGACCAACTAGTGACAAGTGACAACTTGTAATCATTAGATTACATTTTGTATTACATTATGTATTAACATAATAAGCAGCAGTATGACCCTCTGAGTATTACCAAAATAAAGAAATTCCTAACCAAGATTTCAACCATAGTAAAGACCCCTTTAATGATTTTCACTAATATAATCGCTTACTATTCAAACCTTAAATACATTCAGTAAAGTTTAATACATAACAGTGATTTCTTCAGAATACTTTTAACATTCAACTTCTTAAATTCATTAATATAGTGAATAAAATTGTAATTACTGCTCTAATAATAATTCCAGTATGCAGCACAATTATAGATTCATAATGACATCTCTGCTATAATGCTCTTTAAAATGAAGTGAAAAAATAATAAAACTATTTCAAAAATGGTATATTTGGTTGAAATACAAAATATAGTAGTATAACACTTATACTTTAAAACACAAATATGTATTTTTAATCATTTTAATGTGCCCAACATGAATAACCTCCCTCTTTAATTGCCACGTTCTAAAGACTATCAAGACAATGATTTTTCTAAGTTTCATAAATAAATCTTACAGTTTTTCTGTTGCAATTTTTTTACAAAGTATAATTGATAGCACAGTGATTTATAATTTAAGGTAAGAAATATTTCCACATTTTAACTTAGCTTTTACATGATTTCATGCTTCTGAAGCTTGTTTTTATCTTTGCTTCAAAATAGAGGTAGATTCAGTAGAGAATGGGTGTCAGTAAGTGCTACTATGCACTTTTCAAAAATACATGAAAAAGGTTTCGCAACTATTATGTAATAATACTTCATCAGTTCTCCTTTTCAAGTTTCAGTTAAATAACTACATAATTTATGTTTTCACAAATAGATAATGCCAACAAAAAGACAAATACAATCACACCAAAACAACAACAAAAAACCCTAAACAAAATGTTACATCTGAATGGAAAATTTTAATTCATTTTGCTTCTAAAAAGTGCATCAAAATTTTACTGTCTTATGCTAAAAGAAGTCAAATATTCCAACTATCACTGGTGACAAAGAGGAGATAATCTGAAACTCAGCAATTAATTTGTTCCCTACCAAACTAAAGCTGAAAGCCTTCCACTGGTCCTTCTTGCTGCTGAAATACATATTGTTGTTGGCTTTCATCCACCTGCGGTACAATGCTGGGGTCATCTTCTTCTACACCAAAATAATGTTCAATCAGATCAAAAGCCTTTTGATAAATTTCCTGATTTTCATGGCTTTGCAGAAATTCAATTTTATCCAGACCTATTAAAGAAAGCACATATATAAGGACAAATTATTATCAAAGCTTTACTATATATTTAAATCAAACTAATAAACCAATAGCATCTACTACTCCACTAGCAATGGACTGCAAATTAACTTTTATACACATGAAAGCTAAGACTTAGGTCTTCTTGTTTAAGAATGACCACAGGCCTGGTAGTAAGAGTTCACAGACCCAAACAACCCTGCTAGCTGTGTGATCTTGACCAAGTTTGTTCAATTTGTGGGTTTCTCAGTTGTATATGTGCTGCAAAAGTGATAACAGTTTCTAAGTGACAAAGTGAGTTTTAGAATAAAGAATTTCAAAAGTCCATTCTAGAGTATTTATGCTAAACAAAGTACAAAATGGAAACTAACAAATAATGAGCCAGAGAATATTAGTATGAAACAAATGTAAATTATCTGTAAATTCATGACATATTTTCACAGCAAAATACCCTGTACATATATGGCTATTTGGTTAGAAGTACAGTCTATAGGTGAAACTGAAAAATCTCATCCTGAAAAAATAAGAATCTATAACATTCTATTTTATTGCTTAGAAGAAAACATTCTACACCTAAGTATAAGTATATAGGTCAATGATGGAGAATCATTTAGAGATCAAGTATCAAACTAAAGCCCAAAACCCACTTATTTATTGCAAAGTGCCAACACTGAATTAAACTTGAATACTGAAGTTTTAGGGTTTTTTCAAGGTTTTAGTTTAGGAAAAAACAACTCATATATTAGTATCTTCTGTCTTAAAAGAAAAACACAATAACATATGTGCCATAGGTTCACCACCAATGGTCTAAGTATGTAATGTTGAAATAGTATTCATTTAGTTACAGAACCATTTCATGAAGATTACATAGAATAAAAAATAAACAAGAATAGGCCAAACACTAGTGTAACTTGGAGTCAAATAATGACTACAGTAAGGAAATATTAATTCTTAAAGCCAGTTATTAATATTGTGTTAATTAATGGTTCAATCAGTGATACTATATGACTAGAAATAAGGGCAATGTGATAGCCCAGGCTTCATTAAAGAATCATAAATAAAAGCATGAATCAGCATACAGTAAGAAGACAACATAGGAAAGTATTAATACAAATAAAGTAGAAAAAATCAATTTAGAGTCATACCTATTCAAAAATAAATTCCCTTATGAGAATTTAAATTAAATATTTTAAGGATCCAAACAGAAAAATCTGGCCAATAAAACTTTTTTCACTAAACCTCCATCGGGATAATAATTTCATAAACTGAAGAAATAAAATATTAAACTGCATCATTTATTAAATATAAAATAAGTTATTTTATTAAAATAAAAAAATTAGATTGGGAGAAAAGATGTATCAAAATGGAGTTAAAAATTCAAATTTTTATAGAAAATTCAAATAGATAACTACAAACTATGATATACACTAGTGGAAGGAAAATATATACCACATTATATGAAATAAGCCAAGAAATACACAAAATGCAACCTGGTGATGTTGCCTCACATCTGCTAAATTAGCAACCAATCAAATAAGCATAAGGCTGTGGAGCACATCTGCACAGAAGGAGCAAGTGACCTGTCAGTAACAGGTTTTGGGAAACAAAATGAGATGCATTTTGTCTTGTAGGACTCAGCAACTACACCCCTGAAAGTGCATCCCGAAATACTAGTTCTGTTAGAGAACACAGACCCAACAGGGGAAGAAGCAACACCAACAATGTTTAGGAGGCAGTTTATTACACTAGTGGACTCAACTGGGATCTTGTCCAATGAGTCAGAGCCCCGCCTAGCAGGGGTTTGGAGCTTTTATGGGGAAGGCAAGTGGGGAGGCACAAAGGCATATTTGGGGCAGTGACATCACAAGATGTTGAGGGAATTTAAAAATAAAAAATATTGCAAGGTCATCAGTTACACAAAGGCAGTAAACAGGGGTCATGGAGGAATGTTCTGTTACCAGCATTGCCTGGATATGTCCACTGGGTTTGGGTGGTTATTCTTGGCAGACTTTCATTTAAAATTTTACATTCCCTCTCAGTACAACAGAAAAGCAAATTTATATGTTGAAAGATGCTTATTTGGCATTGAAAAAGCAATAATAAAAAGCATTAGTTTGGAAACAAACTAATGGTCAACTACCAGTGTATGGTAAAACTGTACATGGTATGGCTGAAAGCACACTATATAGCTACTAAAATTATAAAAAAAAAATGGAGAAATGTAAAATTTCAACAAAATGTTAAAAAGTGTGAAAGAAAACTAACCATACACTATTAAACCAATATAAAGTATTTGTCCACAAGAATAATGTAAACAGAATGATAAATGATGAAGATAAGTTGTTAAGGTAGTAGAAAACATTTTAAAATAGTGCTTTTTTTTTGCCTTTCAGAGACAGGGTTTCACCATGCAGTTCAGGCTTATCTTAAACTCACTTTGTAGCCCAGGCTAACCTCAGACTCACAGCCTCTTGCCTCAGTCTCCGGAGTGCTTTTATGACAAACATTTTCATGGAACCCAGGGGGAAACTAGCTAAGGGATCAGTAAGAACTACTTGTAAATTCTTAACTGACTGCTTACCATACGCTTCTTCAATGAGAGCACAGTATGGATTAATGCTGACTCCATTCTGCTTAGATTCTTGCTCTCCGAGACGTAAAATATTTTCCAGTCCATTTAAAGCCACCTGGACTATTTTGGAGTCCATAACAGTCAAAAGGTCACAAAGTGGTTTAATACAGCCTAAGGCTACCAAATACCTTCAAATAATTTTTAAAAAGAGAGAGATGTAAGGAAAACAAAGTTTAAAAGTAACTTTAAGCACTATAACAATGACACAAAATATTCTTCATGATGAAATGTATGGGGAGTGGCTGAGCTGGAGATTGGTTGATCTAGCCCACACTCAGGGCGAGAGCAAGGCCAGCCCTGACCTCTAGAGAAGGCCACCCATGCAAACAAGCTGCTGGGACTAGAGCAGGGCCAGCCCAGCACGTACGTGTCCAGCCTTCGTGCTCCTCTCTGTTAACTACAGCACAGGTAGCTCTGAGAATGTTCCATTTTCCATGTTCTCAGCAAAACACTGAAATACTTTCAAACTCAGCAAAACACTTTCAGCCCTGTCATGTGCTTCCTCGTTCTTTACTGTGTATAAACAAAGACGCAGGCTGCACTGGGTTGTCACTGCCTCTCCATCACGGAGGTCAGGTCCCACCCTGTCCCAGCTTTCCTTTAATTAGGTGTCTAGTTTCTTCTGAATCTCTCGTTGCCCCTTCTCAGGACCCCACTGGCTGTGCAAGTTGCAGCAAAAATGTTTATGTAAACAACTAAGAAAAACATTTGTATAAAAATTTAACCGTTATAAACATTTAAATTTTTATTTAAGTGCGCATTAAGAGAATGGGAAATAGTGAGATAAATCTTTAACATACAAGAAGGGAACCAAAAGATGAAGGGAGGGAAATGAGATAGGGGGAGGTTGTGAGGTATATACATGTACCAAGTTCCTATGGGGACATGGTTATTATAGCCTATAAACAAGTATTCCCTTGGAATGGAGATGGAGAGGAAGGGGGAGGATCAGGGAACGATGATTTAAAAAAAATTAAAATGTGTCATATATATGTACCAAATCCCCACAATAAATGTATTTATTATGTACTACAAACATCTATCGATTTTAAAAAAACATGACTTTAAAACCTTGTATTCTCTTATTCTCTAATTTAAAATAATTAGCAATAAAAGGTATTGTAAACACCACAAAATATAAACACAGGCACAATGGTACTTGGATCTGTTTATGCATGGCATCCACACTCTAAACAGTGTATGTACTATGCACATGTGCATATGTGTGTGCTTTTTTGAAGGGCTTTGTACCTACAGAGTGGTCATTTGGAGGCCGAAGAAATGGAAAGGGAAAAGGACATCCGAACTGAGAAAATTTCTCAAAAAATTACAGTTAGTATCTTAAACATACGCTGTGTTTCATAAGCACAGAAGATCTCTAGGAACAAAATAGGCCATGTATAAACATTATATAATGTTTATACATAATGTTCACAAAATACTCCATTTCCTAATGCCTTTTTTTCCTGTTATTTGTTGTTTTCACACTTTCTGTAAGTTCATATAAAGCACAAAGATAAAAACCTATCTCACAGCCAAGAGAGTAAAGGAAATATAATCCATAAAAGCACTATGTACCCTGCTGGTGTCCCACAGCTGAAATGACTGGCTTGGGCATACAACAGCATCAGTGGTATCACTTCAGCATCACTGAAGTGATCTGAGGCCAAGAAATTCTTTTCCTATATACACAGTGAGTGGTTAGGGAGATAATCAGCTTCATTTGGACCACTGATTCACACTGATATATTTGAGGAATGCTCTGTGGAATAGATATAATCATGGCAATCACTTTTTTATAGTACTGGGAAATAAACTGAAAACTTAAGTAGGTAAAAATAACATTAGCATTAAAAATACAAGAGAACAAAGATTCTGTTTCATTACTACTTGTATTCATGACACAAATGAAGTGGAAAGGTTGATTAAAACAATGAGGAAAAATGGAAGATAAAAAGCAAGCAGTGGGTCTCAATGGCACATATCTAATCTCAGTACTTGGGAGGCTGCAGCAGGAGAATCAGAAGTTCAAGTTCCACCTGGGAAATTTAGTGAGATTCTGTGTCAAAGAACTAAAGACTAAATAAATGTCTATTTCTATGTATTTATTTAGACACAATCTCGCTATATAGTCGAGGCTGGCCTTTAACTCACTTATGTATCCTTGGTGATACTCCTGCCTCAGCCTCTGACTGCTGGGATTACAGGCATGTGCCAACACTCATGGCTCAATTTATTTTAAATAATTTATTAGTAGTTTCTGTATATTCAATTTTTTTCCGATTTTAGTGTTTAAAAGATATTTAATGACCATGATAGTACTGTGCTAATTAATATATTGTCCCCTCCTCAGATTTTTAATTTCTAGCCTGCCAATAGAGAATGTTAGCTAGAATTTAAATTTTAAAAAATCATTGTGAATGAATAACACTTGTCATTTAAGATTAAAAATGCTTATAAACTGATGTAGAAATGATGCTTCATCAATAAAAAGTATGCTTTATTTCAAATTGTTTTTCATTTACAGTATTTTCTGTAAAAAACAAAAACCACTTTGCATCACACCTTATTTGATCTGGAGTCCCTCCTGAGGTAGCGTTAGTTATAGCCCAAGCTGCTTCCTTTCTGGTGCGAAACTCCGCTTTCTGAAGAATCTCAATCAAAACAGGAAAAATACTTGCATCTATAATTGCCTGAGATTAGGAAAAACAATGGAGCATAACCAGTGTAAATAAAGTTTTAAAAATATTACCAAATAGAAGAAGACAGAAACAGAATAACTTCGTAACACCTAGGCTTCTAGAATTATCTTTGGAAATATTATCTGTTTAAATCTTCATGTACTTTCCTTTTTTTAAAAAGGAAAATGTCTTTTAAATAATAGTGATATTAACAGGTTATGATTTTAAGGATAATAAAGCACAAGAATATGACTGATTAAAATGGAAAGAAATTAATGAGGTTGATAAAACTCTACTGTAAATCAACAAAAGCTGCAAAAGAAAGATTACTGCCTAACTTAACTAATGGAGAATGATTCCTTTCTAAAGATTAATCACTTGTGTTGGACATTGTGTGAAGTGGGGAAAAATATATACACATAAATATATACACATACATACATTCATACATACACGTATACACATACTCCTCATTAGAATACTAAAAATAAATGCTACTATTTTAGAGGAGGAAAGGCTATATTCTTTAAAACAATTTTTAGACATTCATTTTTTAAAAATACTTACTAAAATACATCACTAATAAAATACTGATTCACAATATATTGGCTTTTTTTTTTTTTTTTTTTTTTTTTCTTTTTGAGACAGGGTCTCGCTCTGCAGTTCAGGATGGCCTTGAGCTCACTTTGTAGCCCAGGCTGGTCTCGAACTCACAATGATCCTCCTGCCTCAGCCTCCCGAGTGCTGGGATTACAGGCGTGAGCCACCATGCCCGGCAATACATTGGCATTTTAAGACCTTCTTATTCTAGTCCCAGATGGGAAAGGCTGTTTGTTACCTGGATTTGAGCTCTGTTTCCAGCAGTTATGTTAGAAATAGTCCAGCAGGCTTCTTTTCTAATTGACTCCTTTGGGTTACTCAACAAGCGCAGGAGACAGGGTAATGCAGAACAATTCAAAATCACCTAAAGAGAATTAGAAATGGAAACAAAAAGGTTTATAGTAAAAAACTAAATAAAACCTTACTACTAGGTTATTCACAAGTAAAAAAATCATTTTGAAAAATGAAAAGAGATTCTTTCTCTTTCTCTTGAAGTGAAATTTAGGGACTTGCTACTTTTTGCCTTGTGCTGTTTCCAAAGCTTGTGTAGTGCCAGAGTAGTGAGGTCCCCTGTTCTCAGTCCACTAAAATGCCACAGCTGTACCCTTCAAGTTTACAAGTTAAAGCAAATTTATTTACACTTAGCATAATGTGTGAAAACATTGTTTTAAAATGCTACCAAGTATAGGTATTTTGAAACTCAATGGCTTTTCTAAAAAGTTAGAAGTTGTGGAAATACCTTTGAAAATATTTTCAGAGTTGAACTGACATAATTATTTGAAAAGATATTGTGATTGAGGTTAAGATCCAACCTCTAGTTTACAAAATGAATTAATAAAAATCTGTAAATATTAGAAATTCATAATGTGTAGGAAAAGTCTGTTTCATTAACATTTTTATTGTTCCACTTTTCTTTTATAAAGAAATATATTCTTCTTTGTCCTGTTACATTTTTTATTCCCTTGCAAGACTAATTATGTTCTCATGTTCAAAATACTTCCCAGTGACTGACACTGTATGGAGCAGTACACTGAAAATTCAGTTGAAAAAATACAGTGTATGTTTAAGAGCATATTTTCATTTAAAAGCTATTTTAAACAAATAGCTATCTCTTATTAGATATCAACTACTAATAACTTTGGTGAGTATCAAAACAGGACTTGAAAAGTAAACCTGAAAAACATGTAAGAACAAGAAAACACTTAAAAATTGTGAATAAGGAAAACTTTGATGTGCTACAGAGTTTAAGGTTTTAAACTCTGCAAGAAAGACTATAGCCCAAGTTTGGGATCTATCTTAACATTACTCCTAATTTGATCTCTACCCAAAAGAGACATATCTTACACACAGTTAACTGTGAAACCTAGATCAACTTCCTTGCCATCTTTCCATTTTGGCCTTCAATACTAAATGCCTTACCAACAACTCTACTTCTAACTTACTTACAATCAAGCATCTTCTCACTAACAGTTTTTGTTCTACTTAAGTTTAATGCTCCTAAAAAAAATAGCTCACACATACCTGTGTATCTATGACCAGATAAATCTTTTTCACTCCATTGTACTTTTAGGATCCAGATTTAGTTCCACTCCTTTAGGAAACTACACAAATTTCTTAGTACATGACATCTTTTTAAAACTTTTACAGCATTTACTGACTGGTTAGTTCATAGCACACAGATACTATCTTTGATGATTTGCCTTGCTCTTATATTTTCTCCCTTAAAGACTAGAAATCCCTCAAGAGCAGAACCTGTATCTTATAGTTGTTTGTATTAATTCAGATTGAGGAGAGCACTTTCTCTTATAGGTATTTGAGGCTGACTACATGTTATGAATATGCTTATGTGCTAAAATTCTAAAATCTTTACATGTAATCAAGTGGTATGAAACATAATTGTCTGTTATATTAATAATTGGGCATATGAAAGTCTGGACTCACCTGTGTTTGAATATCATCACCAGTGACAATGTTACCAACTGCTCTTAACGCAGGTGATACAACTTTATCATCATTGTACCTAAAGTTAAAAAAAAAATTGTCTGTTTGAAGGCAAAGGTTGTTTTCACTGTTTTATTTTCTTACGTTTCTTTTGCTCTACTCAATACTCTCAATTGGTTTTATAATGTTTTGTTTTTGGTTTGATTTCACTATACTTAATTGACTGGACAATTATTGTGAACATAAAGAGATATACCATAGTACCTATTACTACCCTCCCAGTATCCTGCTGTGAAGTTCTGTATCAATTTTACTGCCTTGTCTCGATTGGCTTTGCTCTGTCTTGTTCTGTTGTATTTTTACTACTTTCAAAATAAAATTTTTAAAAAAAAAAGTAAAATTTACTGAAAATGTAAAATTTACAGAAAATTGCAAAAACAGAAACTCCTCACCCAGAGATCCCATTTACATCTCAGTAATTCTCCCAGTACTACTTTACAATAAAGGAGCTAATCCAAGGTCCCATGTTAACTCACTCGGCATGACTCTCCAGGATCTCTCAATCTAGAACGGTTCCTTGGTCTAGATACTGACATTTTTGAAGACCACAAGTCAAGTGTCTTTAGCCAATGTTTTCTCAAGATTAAAACTCAATTTATATACACATTTGCCTGGGTATCACAAATGGTATTGTGGTGCCTGGTATCCCCGTCCATGATGCTGGTGCGGAGCTCTGGTCACTAGTTAGGAATGGACCTTGCCACATTCTTCGGCTTTATTATACTACTACTGATTTCCTTTAAAAGCAGTATTTAGCAAGGAAATATTCTGAGATTATGTAAAACTCCCATTACTTAACCTACTTTTGCCACTAGATTTGATGCTTATTGTCTGAAATAATTGTCATTTCAACTATATGCCTTATCTACTTACCTATTGATTTTAGTATGGACTCAGAGGTTTTCTATTTTATTTGTAAAGTTATAATGCATTACTATAACTTACTTCAAAGCTCAAACTGTAGCAGTTTTGGACAGAAGGTACCCTTTCAAATGGACTTCTACATCCTTCTGACAAATCTCCATTCTGTAAGCACTCATTACTTTTGATGTTCATCTTATTTTTATCTCATTCTCAGCCCTGGGACTACTTGTTTCCCTAAGATCTCTGGTTCCTTTGAAAGGAGAGTGGTATTTAGAATCCAAGGCTTAACCCTTCACTGTACTCAGCTTATTCTAAAGGGTGCCACTGTTCCTAGTCACTCTCAAAACTGGGCTGTGACTTCTGTACTGACTCCACCTGTTCCCCATCTACTGCCCATGAGACTGTTTTAATGCAGGCCCTGAATTCTCTTCTTAAACTACCTAACTCTTCTGGGCCAACCTAATGTTTTGTTTTTGTTTTTGTTTGTGCTTTTACAAATATGGTTTCACTACACAGATCAGGCTGACCTTAAATTCATATTGTAGCTCAGACTGGTCTCAAACTCACAGCCCGTCCTCTTGCCTCAGGCTCCCAAGTGCGCCACCACACCTGGCCTCCAAATATGAAATGCTTTAAAGGTGGGAAGACCAGAAGTTATAATATCTTTCTAAAGCAAATTTTCTGGATTTGTTTGATAGAAAATCTTTTCCTTTAAAAGAAGGGAAGTAGCTACATGGCCTACCAAAAAGACACATCTTTGACATAAATGAAATTACTATAACAAATAATAAACTAGATTATTAGTTATAAGAAAGAGTGGAAAGTCTCAAACTTCATTAACAATGTCTTACATACACATCAACTTAGTAGATATTAGGTATTCTATAAATACCTAACGTTTCTCTTGTTTACAGTGAGATCACATAAAACTTAGAGAATTTGTCTACAAAATAATCAGTTTCTACCTCAAAATATGATACAAATTATTAAAGGTAAATTTTTTAGGATTACAGTTACTCTGCAAAATGTGAGATTAGTAACTTTTTAACTCTTTCTAAAGAAACAGCTCCAAGATATTTACAAGACAATCACTTTAACTTATAACCTTAATACACAACCATACAATTATTAAGCATAAGTTATAGTTACATCAATAGTTCCACCAATCTTCGACAGACTCCAGAATCAATCACAGCTTGGATTTTATCATTGGGTCCATCAGAGAGATAAGAAAGGGCCCAGCACACATCTGCTAATATATCTGAGTCACTGCTAAACAACAAGCGTGACAGGACAGTTAAGCAAGGTGAAACCTAGAAGAGAAGGAGTCAACATTTTTTCTTTAAAAATAGGTTTACTTAGGAAGATACAGAAATTCATTTTTAAAGTGAATTTTAATCCCACATAAAACCAGAAGTTAAAATAAGGTATTTGTGGGGCTGGGGATTTAGCTCAGTGGCATAAGCACCTGCCTTGCAAGCAAGTGGTCGTGAGTTCGATCCCCAGTACCAATAAAAAGTTTTTTAAAAAGTTAAAAAAAAAAGTAAGGTATTTGTTTTAAAACTATGTTCAGATTATGAACTTGGAACTAATTATGATTGCTATATTTAACTTATATTGAATAAAATATCTGGTAAACTTTTTAAAAATAGTAAAATTTGCATTTGAGTCTCCTATGTTTAAATTATATACTCCTTGTATACTAATGATGTCTTTGAATCAAGCACTGCATATCTCAACAGTTCATCTGGTAACCTAGACAAGTACCAAGAGATTCTACCAAGTAACCAGCAGGTGGGTAGCAAATACAGCATAGGTATGCTTTAGAAGTAACTGATTTACAATCAGGGCAAGAAATACAAAATTTCACCATGCTGCTTAGATATACAATTTAAAAATCATGAATTATTTCTGGAATTTTCCATTTTATATTTTTGGATCATGGGTAACTGAAATCTCAGAAAGCAAAACCACAGTTAACCTATCTATCTATACAAGCTAAATGTTAGATGTGTCACAAACGAACGCTTCCCAAAAAGTAATTCCATCTCTGTCAACCATCTCTCCCTCGAACAGAGAAATGTATAATTCATTTTCCAAAACAAAAGGAATTCTAAGTTTAAAAAAATCAGTACAGTTGATAAATGTCTTTTTACCAAGTTAAAAAATAAAGTACTTGATTTTTAAGAAAAAGACCTCCATTTCTAGCTTTGTAAAAATAACAGAAACAAACACAAATTTCATTTTACAGGAGATTAGCAGATATTTGTTATCCTACTCAAAATATATGAGGATGAAAATAACTAAAGAAACAGTTAGCTAATTTAGACAAAAATACAGAGAAAGTAAAGCCCCAAGTGTCTGAAGAGGGAGCCAGCAATAATAAGGACCCTCACTACCTATTTATTCTACTTTCAACACCCCAATATGCCTTACAAATCAGCAGGTATCACAGAAGGTAGGGAAGACAGTGCTAAAACAGAAGATTATAAACCTGAATAAGAAGATTAGACTCAAGATTAGACTCAAGGTACCTACAACATATTATACATGGCCAGCACTCTCAATGCTACCAAAGATTGAAGGCTTAAGAAGAAACTGAAAACAAAACCTGAATGAATCACAGAAAATGAACAGCATATTAGGCAGAGGTTGAAATGGAGTGACAGACTGGAATTGAAGAAGTAAAAGTCTACACACTGACTGCTGGACCTATTACCACTTTCAGTTCCCAGATCTCCAGAAACTAAGTGCACTACCTACTATACACCTTAATCCAATGTGTCCACCTTCCAGCAAAAGAATGGAAAAATCTGTCTCTAATAAATGCAATGGAACTGGAGAATGAAACTTGGAATTCCACAAACAAGGAAAAAAAAAGTTTTGCTGCTGCTTGTTATAGCTGAGAACTAAAATGTCCTCCAAAAGTCTTACATAGTCAGAAGCGGAACTTTTGGAAGGTGACTGGATCATAGGGACAATATACTGATCTACTGACAATTTCATAGTTAATGTGCTGTTGGGTGGATGGACAGTTGGGAAGAGATGTGTTCCTAGGGCTGTCTATGGAAGGCGTTATTTTCCTCTCCAGTTTCCAACTTACCTCTCCACTTCCAGGGTGCAATAGAGTGAGGTGCTTTCCTCTATCATGTCCTTCCACTATGATATTCCCACCCTGGAGATAGCCTATTATGGATCATGTGCCTCTTAAAACCGAATTAAACTTCTTTTCGTTAAATTGTAGATGTTAGGTACTATCTTAGTGATGACTAAAATACTCCCCAATTACCCTACAATAAAGCCCAGAGATGACAAGCTCTACCCCTACATCCAATCAGCTTCTATAGTGCCTCCTGAGTCTGCCCAAAGAACCAAAGGTCATCAATTAAAAAAAAAAAAAAAAAAGACAGCAAAAATCAAAAAAAAAAAAAAAAAGGAAAAAGAAACTTTTACAAGACTATGCCAGGCGTAGTGGCACATGCTCATAATCTCAGAACTGGGGAGGCAAGAAGGAAGAGGACTGCTGTGACTTTGAGGCCAGCCTGGGTTACAAAGTGAGTTCAAGGCCAACCTGAACTACATATCAAGACCCTGTCTCGGAAAAAAAAAAAATCCTATAAATTCTCAGATAAGATGATTTACTAGGTAAAAGAGCAGAATCTGTCCTTAGAGTTACTGTCCTTATATTACATGAGCCAATAATGCAGTTGCTTGTTGAAGATGAAGATCATCTATCAACAGATCCAAACAAGCTAATCGAGAGATTCTCTCCATCTCAGCAGGAAAAAATCTTCGAGGAGAAAGGCTCAGATACATTCAATCCAAAGATTCAAAAGATGGTGGTGTCCGGTGAGGCCAAACTGGTGGCTCTAGTGAACAAATTTATTGGTTATCTCGAACAGAACACATACTGCCTTCTACCCAGTCTGGTGGATTATGTCACAGATGTATGAAACTCTGTCCTGCGTGGACAGAGGGACATACAGATGAGGTCAAGGCAATGTGTACTAATCTCCTGCTGGCTTGCTTTATTTGTCCTGCAGCTGTCAATCCAATAGAGTAATTTTGGATGCTCCTTAATAGGAGGTAAGTGGCTTGATTAAAGGAGGTAAGTTGGCCACCTGTTTCTGCAGTTAGCAATACCTGGCTCTGAAGAGGGAAACCCCCACACAAAAAGTGCCTTGAAAAATGTGACAAAAGTTGTGTTGCTGCTATCCTCAATGTTCTGACTGAGGTCTGTGCAGTGGAGATGTCTCCAATCTCCTGTACTGTTCTTCTGGAAGGGTGCAGAGCAGTGGTTAATATAAACTAAGTCAGTGCCTTACTTTGGTGAATTTTATGAAGAGTGTGGTGTGTGGAGATCAACTGAGAGAAGACAGAATGGTTCTTGAAATTTACTGGCAAACCGAACCCAGGCTAAGCCAGGAAAAAGCAGCAGTTTAGAAATGATTCCCTATGATAATCCTCAGCTGTCTCCAAAAAGCATTGCTGCAAAGAAGAATCAATTACTTATTGCAACACAGACCAAAAGTTGCACTAATATGCTAATGGACCTGCATATAGACCATGAAGGATTATCTCAAGAAACAATCCAGAAGGTATAACTGGAAGAGGTATCAGTCATTTCCTTAGGGACAAGTCCCCAGCTTATTCCAGGAATGATGTCAGAAAATGAGATCCTAAACATGCAACTTGCAGATGGAGGACAAGATGTCCCTGTTGATGAAACTACTCCACGGTCCTTCACATTACTCCAACTCAGTGTCTTCTCTACAGTTGGAGGGAGTGTCTGTCTCAGAACTTGGAGGGGGAAACTCCTTGAAGTAATGCAGTTGAAACACTACAGCTCTTAGAAGATGAGCCATCTACCGCACAAGATAATCATGAAGCTAAACTGAGAAAACCTGAGATTCATTACACAATGGGCCTAACAGATGATGGGACATATCAGAAAGAGTGAGTGAGACCTGGACCACAAGATGTCTTAGAATGACTTTGACCCAAACATCAATGAAGATTACTTGCAGGAAATTACAGGTACAGCAGGAGAGAACATGTTAGGCAGTTTTCTGTGTGCTCCTTGATCCCTGCAATGGACAGCAAGTGACTCAGAGACCCAAGACCTAAAGCAAGAGGAATGTCTGCAAAATCTGGAGTTTTCCTGGACTGGGCAACACAGCTGATGATGTAGATGTCAGGAAAGTCAGTTTCCGCCCTCATACACCAGTATCATGTCAGGCATAAGTATGACCTCTGAGGATATTCCCCATAAGACCTAAGACTTGAGATCTGAGTGCAGCTCTGATTTGGGAGGTAAAGATTCTGTCTCCAGTCCAGATACATATGAAATAACTCATGGTAAGAGGAGGAAATAAGAATGGCTTTTAAATATGCTCACATCCATGGTTGAAAATGGCACTCTTTTAAGGGTCTCACTATATAGTTTAGGCTGTCCTTGAACTCAGTATGTAGCCCAGGCTAACCTCAAACTCACAATGTTCCTCCTGCCTCAGTGTCCTGAATGCTGCATTTAAAGGTATATGCCATCATGTCTGGTGAAAATGGCACTTACACATTGGTGTTAATAATATCAATTGGTATAAAACTTTGTAGCATAATTTGCCAATGCATATTAAAATCTTAAATGTTCACATTCTAAATTTGGTCTAGTTTCACTTTTAGAAATCTGTCATAAGGAAATAATTCCATGTATGGAGGAAATAAAAGACACCATATCCTTCAAAACATTTATCTTAGCAAAAAAATGGGAAAAAATTATGAACTGAAAAATAGAAAAGTGAATTGTGGAGTAACCTATTAAAATTTATGCACATATTTGGTAAATGCTTTCAATGCAGTAACCTGGAGGAATACCCATAACACAGTATTAAATGGAAAATTTACTTGACAGAATTTTATATACAAGACAGTAAGACATATATTGAATAGTTTTAAAAAAGGTATTGAATATGTAAACTGATTATTTTAAATTAATAAATATTTCAAGTTTTCTTTCATTTTCAATCTAGTATCATTCAAATACTAATCACACAAACAAAGGAGTTGAATCCTCATAATTTTTAAGAGCAGAAAGGGGCTCTAAGACTAGATATTTTAAGAGATATTCATTGTTTCAGGTAGAAGGAAAAGCTAGAGCAAAGCTAAAACCATGCTTTGTGAGTATGATAAATAGCAAGCAGGCCAGTATGACCAGACAGTTGAATGAAATGGAAAACAGAAAAAAGTGAGTCAAGAAATTCACAGATGCTTTCAATTCTTTTTCTCAATTAAGTGTACTGGTACTTTTCAGGTA